TATACCCTTCAAAAAATACAATATCTTGACAACAATTAGATCGACTCGTCTTCACTAGTTTTTATTAGTCTGAAAAGAGCTTTCAAAGGAAAAAGTTGCTTTTAGTTCCATTTAGGATCAAGTCAAAACATGAATTTCATGATCGCACAGATATGAAACTCTTTTCCTAACAAAACGTGTCGAATCCAAGTTTAGGCTATTCTATCAAAATAACTGTATTATTTTCAAGATCGATCACTCTTATTTTCCTCGGTACTTATACATATATATTTATAAATACTCTATGCTTACAAGATGCCGTTGACGACTTACTTCTAAACATTAATTTAGGAATATCACTCATACAATCACGATAAATAAAGGGATCGTCAATATCGAATATAACCTGAATCTCTGGATTGGCAAAGTGTACAGAGATATTTTGGCTATGACAAGCTTCTATAGCAAAAGACCAACCATCATACGCTTGATAATAATGTTGAATATTGGATAAAAAATTCAATTCATCCATAACAATAGGAATAATTCCAATTACACGAAAATCAACAGCATCCGTTAACCACGTGGTCCAGCCACGTTTACTAGCCTGGCGGTAATGAATTCAGAAATTTGGATATTATTCATAACATTTAAATATTCTTGAACTGCATCCATAGCTACTACCGCAGATTTGACCATAGAAAGTCGGACTAATCAATATGGTCGACTTCAATCATTTAAAAATATTCGCCGGCCGAATGCAATAATATCATCTTCAGTACGATCTAGATCCAAAATCAGGACTTGGCTCAGGTAAATACATATCAAAAGCAGTTTGTTTTGAAACAGGAACTGGACGTAAATGTTTCGTGATATGAGAAGCTTTAGTAACTACTCTACTACATAGTATTAAACCCGATAAGGATAATAATAAAGATCTTTCCATCTTCTTTTGCGTAAGAATGGATAAATGCGACCTTCTATTGATTCCTCACACAATGCTTGTTTTGTTGGCTCTGATAGAACTTGTGTTACTGGTTTACTGTGTTCCAAAGTGTGTTGAAAAGAACAAACCAACAACGAAAGTATAAATAAAACGCGAACATAATTTTACTTTTGCTCTATTCTTCCATTATCAGTTCAAACTAGGGACTCCATCATGACCACTATTTTCTAAGACATGGTATACTATAGCTTTCTTTTCTTTACCTAATTACAATACATTATTTTCGACCCTAGCTCAAAATAGAAAAACCTTCTGTATTCCGCAGGCTTTTGTGATTCACTTTTCTGTGATTTCTTTGTTTTGTACATCAACTTTAATAAATAATTTGTACATTTGCTCTGTAGGCTAACAAAAACTCTTCTATTCACACTTTTGTGGGAACTCGATTCTGCACTGAAATATGTAGATGAAATCGAAAAAATAATTGAAAGAAAGGAACTTAATACGAAAAACTCTGACCCATTGTTCACTTTATTCCTTATCTTTCCACGTATGCCCAGTTTCATATTTATTTTCTATCTTATCTCTAAAACATATGCAAAAATATTAAAACGTGGTATTAAAGGCTGACACAGATGAGTTTCTTTCTACCTTTCCTTCTCAATCAATTCTTAATTTCCATGAAAGATTGTGTGCACTGTAGGATCAAGAACTTACACAAATATCCATAACCTGCATATTGCTAAGGTCGAGTGATTTTACCTATCCGAAACCTTATCGAAAAATTTAGCTGTTGCATATAAACTGAGCACATTAGCATGACGCTATGCGCATTTTAAAACAAGAAGATAATACGATGTCCATTAACTAACTTTAGAACAATACGGCACCATTTTCTCACTTTCTGGATATAATGCAATCGATCAGCTAATAAAATGAATGAATGATAATACCATACATTGTTTCCGTACTTAGTCTGCTGTGATCTGGATGTCTGGCATCTTTAGCAAGCTTAATTATAATATAGAAACGTGGTCAAGTCAGAGATTTTTTGCACGATATGCTTCAATAAATAAGCTAGCTTTGAGAGCAGAGGTGGTGTGTTCTACATCAAGCAAAGCATAACTCGTCTGGAATGGAGTCAAAGTCAGGGAAATTCGGCAGCGATAAATAGGAAGCTAGTGTATCTTTGATCAGAGATTGCAAGTTAAGTTTACACATTTGCGACATATTGTAATTGATTTATAGTCGATAAATCCAGAAGACATTCCTGCGAGAGATTTTAGAGTATTATTGACAATTATTCCCACAAATTTTTTGTCTTAAAAACGCGTGGTTTACACCAAAAACCGCGAGCACTACAGAAAGGTAGTCCAAGCTCCTTCCTTAGTTACTATGGTAAACCACGGAACATGAAAACTTTTAAAGCGACGGTCGATGTTTCACAACCTTTCAAATACGCGAAATTTTGATCTCGAACTTACATAGTCTATAGACCAGAATTTTCTCATCAATTTAATGTACCGGCGCGTAATGTTCATGTCGAAACCGTCGAGAACGATGTAGCGTTGCATTTAAAAAATCAATAAAATCGAATTTTGTTTTGAAAACTTGGGACAAGTCTTTCCAAATTTTACATCATTATTAACCCTCAAACATGAGCTTTCTAATGATGTCCTGATATTAGAAATCTACGCGCTAACTCAAAAATTATGTCCCGTTGCGTGCATTACCATGTGTTTTAGCCATAGCCAAAAAGTTTTGTGTATAAACTTAAAATGACTCTCGCAAACTTGTGCTCGGCCAAAATCTGCGAAAAAAGTTTCGTTGCCTACCAAGCAGTGATCTTGGTTATTCAGAGTTTAAGCTGCCATAGATTTCATAAGAAAATTTTACAAAATTAACCCTGTTGAAGTATCTCTACTAATTAGGCAGTCAAAGGAGAAAAATTGAAAAAGAGTAATTTTTTGCAAAAAGCTGAATTCAATTTCTTAACATTTTGCGAGCTAATAAAAAATACTGGTTAAGATATCGTATTTTTTGAAGGGTATT